CTGGGCCCCCCGGCCAGGCGCACGGCAAAGGGTCCTGGGGGACGGCACCGCGCTCAGGCTGGCACCCGTCGCGCACCGGGACCCGCTGGAGCCAACCAGGGACCGGATCCTGCGCCCACCGGGACCCACTCACTCCAGCTGGGTCCACTGAGTACCCTGGGACCCACTGAGACCTGCTGGGACTTGCCCTGGGGACCCCTGCATGAACTGGAGCTTCAGGGGACTTGCTGGGATCTGCTGGGATCCCCTGAGATCCTTTGCATACACCGGGACCCACTGGAAGCGCTTGCACACGCTGGGGTGTGAGGTGACCTGCTGAGGACTCTGCATGTGCTGAGATCCACCGGGAGCTGACGAGACCCCCCTGCACACCCTGGGGGGACTTGCCCTGGGGACCCCTGCATGAACTGGAGCTTCAGGGGACTTGCTGGGATCTGCTGGGATCCCCTGAGATCCTTTGCATACACCGGGACCCACTGGAAGCGCTTGCACACGCTGGGGTGTGAGGTGACCTGCTGAGGACTCTGCATGTGCTGAGATCCACCGGGAGCTGACGAGACCCCCCTGCACACCCTGGGATCCACTGGGACATGCTGGGATGCCTTGCACACCCTGGGACCCACTGGGATCTTTAGCATGCACTGGGATCCCTGGCATCTACTGCAAGGCTCTGCACACTGGGAGCCTCTGCAGGCACCGGGACCAACTGGATCCACTGGGATTCTCTGCACACACTGGGACCAACTGGGATCCACTGGGAGCCTTTGCAGGCACCAGGACCAACTGGGATCCACTGGGATTTTCTGCGCACACTGGGACCCGCTCGGACCTGTTGGGATTCCTCCCACATGCTGAGTCCCACCAGGATCCTCTGCTTGTGCTTGTGTCCCTGGAGGCAATGGGGTCTCTCCCATACTGGGACCCCGAAGTCCCCATCCCACCCACAGGGCTCCCTCCCAGGGCCCCCTAGAGCCCCCCCATCTCCCCAGGGCCCTCTCGGGTCGGCACCAGCGTCCGACCATGGAATTACCTGCGCCGGCGAGTGCCAGGAGCCGCCCTGCCGATGGGAACGCGAGGATGAGCGGGACCGGGCACCCGCACCCGGGTTCCTGGCACCAGGAGCTGCCCCCGGGTGTGCGCACCGAACAGCACCCATGGCACTGAACAGCAGGGCCCAGTGGCCAGCAGGACCCACAGCTCCCCCATGGCACCGAGCAGCAGGGCCCAGCGCCCAGCAGCACCCGCAGACCCCAGTGCCCAGAGCCTGCAGCCCCTCTGCCCCATTCAGCACCCGCTGCTCTTCCCCATGCCCAGGGCCTTCCCTGCCACCCAGCACAGCCCATGATGCCCCAAGCCCCAGTGCCCTGCAGAGCCCGTGGTGCCCCATGCCCTTCCCCAGTGGGCGCAGGGTCCCTTTGCAGTGCCCCCTGCGTTGCCTGGTGTCCCCGGCAATGCCCAACATCTGCAGTGCCCTCCTGCCCTCAAAGCGTTCGTGCCCCCGTGCAGCACCCAGCGCTTTCGCAGGGCCCTCGCAATGCCCAGGGCAGCATCTCTGCCCTTTGCAGCGCCCAGCAGAATGCACGGCCCCCCGTGACAGTGCCCAGTCCATCGAGGTGCCCAACATCCTCGCGGTGCCCAGGACGCTGCTCCTGCTTTCTCTATCGCCCACACAGTGCCCAGGCCACTTGCAGCGCTCAACCCACCTGCAGTGGGTTCCCCCGGCCTGCCCAACGCTCTGCCATGTGCGGTGCCCATTGCAGTGCCCACTGCAGCACCCATGCACCGTCCAGCTCTTCAGCAGTGCTAGGGCAGTGCTCAAGCCCCATGCAGCGCCCGTGCCATGCAGAGCCTGCCAAGTGCCCATGCAGTGCTCAGCTCCCCACCCCGTGCCCTCACCATGCCCGTGCAGTGCCCAGAGCACCCCTACCATGTCCCCACGCTGCCTGGGTGACACCCACCGTGTCCTTGCAGTGCCCAGTGCTGCTGTGTTAA